TCAAATCATGACCCCTTGGGCTAGGGTGGGGCCAAAATGGCCGATCAAAGTTTTACATAGGAATATATAGGAAAAATCTTTTAAAATCTTCTTCTCAAGAACCTCTGGACCAGGAAAGATGAAACTCATGTGGAATCAACCTCAGGTAGTGTAGATTCAAGTTTGTTCAAATCATGACCCCTGGGGGTAGGGTGGGGCCAAAAAAGTTTTACATAGGAATATATAGGAAAACCTTTTAAAATCTTCTTTTCAAGTACTTCAGAGCCATGATTAGTTATATTTATATGGAATCATTCTCAGGTAGTGTAGATTCTAGTTTGTTCAAATCATGACCCCATGGGGGGTTAAAATTCAAGCCTCCCCCCCACCTTACATCAGTAAACTAAGTTCTGATCTGATATGTGCTTTTTCCTAGCCGATGTTCTCAGGTGAGCGCTGTGGCCCATGGGCCTCTTGTCTTAGGTTGATTTTTTGAGTATTTTAAATTATATATATAAACATGTATAGAAATGAAGGGTATTCGTTTCCAGAAAAAGAACAATACATTTTAAGTAGTTGTTTCTTATTGTCTCTGTAAAACTCTGTCTATCATAAATTTCTTCTCAGAAATTTTAAAAACATGTCCAAAAATTTCATTTGAACATTGGTGTGTTGGATGCAGGTGAGCTTGTTAGTCCCAATACTGTAAACGAACTTTTATTCGCGACGACTTTATTTCGCGATTTATCGGGAGTAAACTAGTTCGCGACAATTAATTTTCGCGATCAAGTCGATTTTGGAACTGTTTTCAATAGAAAAAGGCACTTTAAGGACCCGTTCACGGCGAGAAATATTCGCGATGACGAGATCTCGCGAACCTCGCGAATATTTCTCGCACGCGAATAAAAGTTGGTTTACAGTAATTCATTTGAACCTTCCCGTGTTTAATACAGGTGAACTTTTTTGTCTATAAATTAAACGGCCCAGCTGTAGGCTTTACCATGATGTCTATGGTTACCGTCACAAAAGAACTTCTTTTAATGGTAGGAATAAAATATATTGTATATGAATAAGACATATTTTTCAGATATTTTAATCAAGATTTAATCTATAAATTATGAATAATATTTCAACAGAATTCTGTTAATTGTTTGAAAAATATACGTGTATATCAACATATAATTTGGATAACTAATTTAGTTGATATCGGTAAAATTTTAGATAATTTAAAAAGGAATCTGGATTATATTGAGACGGAAGAAGTAAATAACGTGTTATTTTATAATAGAATGGCATTTTTAAATAATGTACATGTACATCGATTCTTTGGAAAATAATGATGAAAAGCATTACTCAAATATATTTACTGATTCTTTGCAGTTAGCTGGACTTTATATTTCCTATCTATTTCTTCTGATGCAATTTCAACTTTGAGTATTTCTGGATGATTTAAGCTGGACCAGCTGCATTTCGCATTTCAACGAAGTGGAGGACAAACTGACAATGTTACTTATTTGATTTGAATAAACAATTAATTAACTGTTGTGACCTTATTTACTGTTTTTTTTTTTTAAATTGATTTATCTTATTGCCAATCAAACATAAATCAGTGCTATAATTACCTCAAAGTATCGATTTTCAAAACTTTCAGAAATCGATACTTATACGATACGATTATGTCTGCTGATAAGGTCAATACGATGATTCAGTTACGTGAGGAGCACAATATTCACTAATATGTTAGGTGTGATATAGAAAAGTTCATGTACATATAAGATTTTGAATTACTTTTCAAACAGCTTGATTCACTTATACATAAAATCCTGTTGATATAGTAATACCAATTTATTGACTAATATACTTTATGTTCCATTTTAAGCACTAAAATAAAGAAGAGGCGTAGTCCTTTCAATTCCTATTAAAAATTTTCTCGTAAGAGTCCAGGTCTTGGAAAACAGGCTTTATGGAATTGCAATGTTCTTGAATTTTAAGGAAAACAGGCATATATTTGAGTACTTTTCGAGAAGAAAATAGTATGAGTTAATTCTCATTGATTGTTTTCACTATGAAGTCTATAATCATCAAAAATAGGAACCCAGATGTTGTGCAGCCCTGCTTCACTCCTGTTGTTACCCAGAACCAGTCAGCTTCTTCCCGAACTTTTAACAGGAATGATTCATATACGAGTTTCGACATTCTGATAAGTTTATCTGGGATACCATGGAGAACTTCAGGAAAGACCGAAAGCTCTCTCTATCAATGGAACTGAATGCCTTCTCAGAATCAACGTAATTTACAAACAATGTCGAGTTCTATTCAGTACATAAGTCTATGATTTTCCGGAGTGTAAATAGTTGTTCTGTTGTACTCCTCCTTCTTTTAAAGCCAGGTTGTTATTCATGCAGCTGCTTTACCACTCTATCTTGGATCCTTTGTAATCACTATTCGGGGAATACTTTGTTTTGCACAGATAAAGGTGTTATGCCTCTACACATACCAATATATCGCCTTTCTTTGGAATCTTCACAATCACGCCTTTATTCCAAACAGACGGTATAGTCTCTTGCTTCCAAATAGTTGTTAAGAGTTTTTCCAAATATCTTGCTGTTGCCTTAATGCTTACTTACAGCATTGCAACGGTTATCCCATTGACTCACTTAGCTTTTAAAACTGACTGTTTAAAACTAGTGCAATTTTAAACGCCTGATGAATTAAAAAGAAATAAACAAAATGTTAACAGATTTTTATCATTCAAATACTGGTAATTTAATGGTAGCGATTGCTGATCAAAGTTTAACACTAATTTAAAGGTCCAACTTAAACAAAACATGCGTACAAATAACAAATTAATGACAGTCTTTGTATGGAGTTTAACATTGCCTATATAATCAGTTACTTAGTATGTTGCAGCGGACAGCTAGAAGAAAATTTGTTTTACAAAAGATAAATCTTGTTTTATTGTGTATATTTATGATTCTTCTGGTCAGTAATGGAATATTAAACAATTCGTCCATAGTGAAAGATGAATCAGTCCAAGAATTAAATTACAGAGACTATATTGGTCATCACGGACTGTTCCGTTTGTATTCTGAAGACCAGGAAACCACTGCTTCAGATTTTGATTCACAATTCGGCAAAAATGGAACCTACAGGGATCGTAGTGTCATGTGTAATGTAACGAGGGCACAATTGAGTAAGTGGGGGAAGCGATACATATAAAAAAATTTCAATCAAATAAAAATAATACAAAGTTTTCCAAATTTATTTTCTATTTTTCTAGTTCTTGCTTTACAGATCACAATTCATTCTACCACAACGTTAATAATCTGTTTTCTTGATGTTGGCAAGAAGAGATCAATCTTCACATTGCTGCAAATTGATCACTTTTTGTAGTAGTTGAAGAAAGACTTTTGTCTTAGAGTCAGTTTCTTCGCTATGCTTATCGTCTTTCATAACACATTCATGTTTTTGCAGAAGGCCGTGAAGAGATAGACACCCGAATCTTAACTTTCTCAGAACTAGAACGAATGTTTCCGGATCATCGAGGGGGGAGATATCGGCCATCTCATTGTAAACCTTCATCAAGAATCGCCATCATCATTCCCTATAGGAACCGTGAAGCTCATCTGAAACGCCTCCTTCTGAATCTCATTCCAAAGCTTCAAAGGCAGCTTCTAGATTTTACAATCTACGTTATAGAACAGGTACTTCTAAGAGCATCGTCGGAACCCAAGGGTTTCCTCTTCGTTACACTTTCGAAGAGAATATGCTTGGGGGATTTGAATGCTTTAAGGTGGATATTTAAACTATATAACTTGGTCAACATATTTTGTCTCTTTTCGCTCTTACTTTTACACGTGAAAGTAATTTTGAAATTATAATTCTGAAAAAGTTGGTATCTCACAGAAAGAGAATGAAGCGTTTAATCGAGGAATGATGCGTAATATCGGATACGTAGAGGCGAAGAAAAGATTTGGTTACAACTGTTATATCTTCAATGACGCTGATACCATTATTGAAGATGACCGGAACCTGTTCAAGTGTGGTCAAGATTTTGTTCATCATTTAGTTTCTGGGGTGCGACGGTACAATTATAGGTAACCGATCAGTCATAATGAACCGAGTATCGTAATTTTAAAAAAAATAAACTTTTTTGAAAATAATGATTTTTTTTTAAAAATCTATTAACATTGATATAAGTATCATTGTTTTAAAAGAGTAATAGAACCTTTGCAATATATCAATGCGTTTTTTAATCAAGCATTGCTTATAAAATCAAGCACCCTAAATACACAGCTTACCATACAGAGGACTGCTTGGGGGAGTAATAGCAATAAATGACCAACAGATGATGACACTGAATGGATACTCCAACATGTTCTTCGTCTGGGGAGGCGAAGATGACAATCTGTTTGATAGGTAAAAGGCTATTTATACTATTTTATAGACAGAATCGGTAAAAAGCTATTTATAGACAAAATCAGTAAAAAGCTATTTATAGACAGAATCGGTAAAAAGTAATTTGTGGACGGAATTCTGTTTCTCTTTGTTACATTAAAATTTGCAATTAAAGAAATTCAAAACTATCTATAACAAATTTGATTTGGTCCAATCAGATCCCCCGTGAAAGCGAGTAGCTCCGTAGCCACAGAGCTGATCCCCGAAATTTCACCCACGGAGTAAACTCAAGTGTGAAATCTCACTAAATTGTAGTATTATACTTTCATGTAAATTAGTTGAATCTGATTGGTCGAGAAACATTTGCTAAAAAACACCATTACCGGCTGAATAATGAAGCCACGCCCTCCAGCGTAGCAACAGTCAACATTGATTGACGACGGATGGTATTACAAAAAATAGCGACTGTGCAGAATTTATGCACGCACGGTTCACTTTTATATGTATTTGTATAAAACATTCAGTATAATATAATAAATATTGCATGTAGTTGAGAGTAACATTGAAAATTTTCACCCCTCGAAAACCATTGTCAAACTCGGCTGCGCCTCGGTTGACAATGGTTTTCTTGGGATGAAAATTTTCAATGTTACACTCATATGGCACGCCAAATTCACAAAAATGAGCTAATCATAGTTTCACAGTCGATAAACTAGGTTTATCGGTTGTAAACTATAGTTTACGGACTGTAAACTATAGTTAACAACGTTAATCTATATTTTACATCTGTAAACCATGGTTAACGCGATAATCTATGTTTCACAACCGTAAACTATACTTAACACCAAAAATAATCATTTGCAATCGCAAAACATAGATTATCTGATAAATATAGTTTCATGATTTGTAAACTATCGTTTAGAACTCTTAACTATAGTTAACGATCGTAAATTATAGTTTACAGACGTGAATCTATGTTTATCAACAAAATCTATTGTTAACGTTTTATTACAGACAGATAAACTTAGATTAGCATCCGTAAACTATACTGTTAGTTAACAACCGTTAAATATATTTTTACAGATGAAAACTATGGCACGCCAAATTCACAAAAATGAGATAATCATAGTTTCACAATCGATAAACTAGGTTTATCGGTTGTAAACTATAGTTTACAAACCGTAAAGTATAGTTAACAACGTTAATCTATATTTCACACCTGTAAACCATAGTTAACGCGATAATCTATGTTTCACAACCGTAAACTATATTTAACACCGAAAACAATCATTTGCGATTGCAAAACATAGATTATCTGATAAATACAGTTTCACGATTTGTAAACTATAGTTTACAAACCGTTAACTATAGTTAACGATCTGATAAATATAGTTTCACAATTTGTGAAACTATGATTAACAACTCTAAACTATAGTTTACGATTGTAAACTATAGTTTACAAACGTGAATCTATGTTTATCAACAAAATCTATTGTTAACGCTTTATTACAGACAGATAAACTTAAATTAACATTCGTAAACTACAGTTAACAACCGTTAAATATAGTTTTACAGATGAAAACTATACTTAACGAATCGTTAACTACAGTTTACGGTTTGTAAACTATAGTTTACAGTCGATAAACCTAGTTTATCAATTGTGAAACTATGATTATCTCATTTTTGTGAATTTGGCGTGCCATAGAAAACTATACTTAACGAATCGTTAACTATAGTTTACGGTTTGTAAACTATAGTTTACAGTCGATAAACCTAGTTTATCAATTGTGAAACTAGGTTTAGCTTATTTTTGTGAATTTGGCGTGCCATACACTCAACTACATGCAATATTTATATAATATTATGGAATCGTGTTCGAAAATTTGTCGGTATTTTTTCCCCCAGATTTATGGATAGTAATTTATGGTTTGATAGAACAGATTATCAAGACGGACTCGTCACAACTTTAGCACACAAAAAAGACAAGAAGTTTGTATCTCGGTATGTTTTGTGCTATCCAATATTTTTTTTCTTGGATGCTTATATTTTTTTATTCTAATTTTTCATAATTCACATATATAAATGTTAATTAATAAAATCATTTGTGAGTCTGTACCTTTTTTAACGAGGCTGGGGGGTGGCAGCCATTTTCAGACTTTTTTGATCTCCTTTAAAAGAAGAGCTCCATATAAAGATATACAAAACTGATCAAAATTTAAAACTAAAATTCATGAATTTTTTCTTTGCCAAATGAATGTTGACAGCCTAAGATACCACATCTAAAAAAATAAGTTAAATCTGGTGGTTAATTTGTGGTTGAATTGTTGACCCCCCAGCCTCCTTAATGGTAAAAAAACTTGTTCTCTCTAAAAAAAAAAACAAACTTATCAAATAAAAATATTTCAAAATTTGCAACCAGATATAGAACCCTTACAAAAACTAGACACTCCAGGAAATTTGACGGCGTTTCCAGTCTGCAGTATGAATCAATACTCGTCAAATACAAACCTCTCTTCGTGTGGATCGTTGTCAGTGTAAACCAAACACTTATAGACGAGGTAATTATTATTCATATAGGCTCCATTAAATCTTAATATCCCAGGCTTTAATTATTTATCGAACAAAATTTATTATTTTACAGGAATTTCAAAGAAATGCAGAGAATCAACTGAGGAAATATACACTAGAAAGTGCTTGAAAGACTACAGACGATGGGCCTATTTTAGTACACTAAACAAAATTACTAAATCGCCACAAAGGAATATTAATAATTCACTTTCCAGAACTTGTTTACAGTGTTTGGAAATATGTATATAATTGTGTTACTAAATCATTTAAATTTCTTAACTACTAAGTAATTTTATTTCATAGAAAATAAAAACGAAAATAGTGCCCAAGCGTCTTTTGGAGGAATAAAATCCTTTTATTTCTTTCTGCGTCTGTTCTCTTTGTTTGTACTAGTAAAAAACTCAGAAAAAGTTTTGACCTTCTCATTTAGAAGAGCATGCAAAAGCAGCCAGTATGTGTCTTCAGCGGGTTTATTTGGAGAAATCTGAAGAAAATTTAAAAAATCAAACATTTTTTTCTTTCGGGAAAAATTTTTGAAAACAGAAACTACATTTATAGCAAAATTGACTATGGATAGACATGGCACTAAAATGAACACAACACGACGATTTCAAGAGTACTCTTGGAATGGACACAAAGGTACTGAATGACTTCTTGGTGATATGATTAGATAGCTAGTTCACACTGCTCAACGCGTTATCGGCAACTCGGTTGTTATCGGATACTCGGTGCAGGAAAAACAATGCATAGAAAACGTAGGTGATTTTGAATTTCTTCATTCAATGATAATTGTGTACTTCTGCAAACAAAGTTTGTTATCTTTGGTAGATAAATGATAATACTTTCAGCGTTAAAAAGCACGATCCAAATCGCTCTCTTTCAAGAGATCTACAGCTCTTAAAATGAAATTTAATAAAAAAAAATTGAATATTTCAACATATTTTAGCCTTTGTAGAGGTCAGAATCAATTTATTTTATTAAACAAAGTGGTTTATTAACTATATGGACAAACATAAACCTTTAGATAAGCAGACATATATCAAAATTCAAATTATGGTTTAGTTTACTGGCATTTAAAATGTTTCGTTGGGCAAAAACATGTTATCGGCAACACGGTTGAAGTTGCCGGATAATTATGTTTTTCACGGATGCAAGTTATCGGAAACCTAGGTTAAAATTTTTCCTTCTGTTTCAACAATAGATAAAAAAAGATGATATTCCATGATATTCTGCGGTCAAGGCTTTCAATTCTTGAAAATAACAATTTGAATTAATTTCAGCAAACAAAGTTTGTGATCTATGACAGATAATTGATTATACTTTCAGCAGCAGAAAGCACAAACCAAATCACTCTCATTCAAAAGATCTACGGCTCTCTCAAATGATATTTTAAACTTTTAAAATTTTCAAGCTTGTGTTAATCATGTGATCTAGCTTGTGTCAATCAGATAGCTGTCAACAATAAAGAAAGATAATATAATTCTTAATACTTTTTATACAATGTTATTTGGATATGTAAAAAAAGTTATTCAAAAATAAATAAATAAAGGTAAGAGAGCCGACTGGGATATTATTGTGCAAAAACCACAATAGAGAAAACACTTTAACACTATTATATAAAAAAAACATAACTGATTTTCCAACCTTGAAAATTACCTGTTTAGGTGAACGGGTGCTGGTTGATTCACTCCAGTTCCTCATATGTTTAACTTTTGCTACAGTCAGTGATTGGCGTTTTCAATTACAATGGGGCGGGGGGGGGATTTTTTGCGAATCCCCCCCACCCCGATCCATCTGAGCATGAGCTCTACACATTGCATGTGGCCAATAATGAAAAAGAGCACATTGCTGGATGTAACCATTTATCAGGAGGTTCTTATTCCTTCTTGGTATGTTAAACAACCTCCGATGTCTTTAGAGATCCGTGTTTACGATTTTGTAATTTTTTATGTCAATCTCTTTTCTCCTCAAAAGTTTGAATTCTATGTCATATAGTTTGGTTTAACGCCCTATTTGGAAATACATTTAACCACCTTTGAGTTTAAATTCTTTAACTGCTTTACACTAAACTTATGAATGTATTCGTGTTGGAAAGGTTGTGAGTTTGAATCCCGGTGTCGCCTGACCTAAGTCGATAAAAAAAAAATGGCTGGCAACTGTTCTTTCGCCATGCGCTCATCACCTTGATTGACTGCATGTTGTTTAACGCCCTATTGAGAATTTTCAGGTCATATGGCGACGCCACCACTTGCCGGTGGAGAGCTACAAAACTTGTCCTATACTCGGCACTCAGGGCCATTGAGCAGTGAGGGATCTTTTTTGTGCTAGCACCACTTTGGGATACGAACCCGCGACGTAAGGATCGACTCCTTACTAGGCGACTCTAGAGCAGACGCTCTAACCACGGGCGACATCGGTACCTTGAAATGAAATTTAAAACCAATACCATATTTTCGAACAGGTCAAGATCATGCAGATTTCAGTGAGAGATGCCAGAAAACACACATTTTTTTTAAAAAGTTACATATTCTTAAAAGAGGCAAATAATAACCAAAAATTAGAATCGTGTGCCAGCCACTTTAAATATTTAGATTTCATGCGGATTTCTGTCGTTTCTTTACTTTTTTCCTAATCTATCTCAACCTTTGTTTCCGATAACCAAAACCGAAGTTTCCGATAACCAAAACCGAAGTTTCCGATAACAAAGTGAATTATTCAACTGTATTTCCGATAGCATACTGAAAGTTAAAATTGGGCAATTTTTGTCCTTTAATTACATATTTACAAGATTCTGACGATGTCTTCTCGTGGACAATCATTAACGCTAGGTAAATATCAGGATTTTGAAGAAAAAAACTATTTACAGCAATGCCAATCGGAGAAAAACTTGCAAAATATAACAAATTTGACTTTTAAAGCCTTCACAAGGCTAACAAACGCATCGAGGCTTTATTTTGTATCCATATTTATAAAAAATTGTTATCAACCGAGTTTCCTAAAACAACCTAGTAGCCGATACCGCGTTGAGCTGTGTGCGTTATCGGATACTCGTTTTTTATCGGACACTCGGTTGATAACAATTTTTTGAATCTCGGACACCTGACAACTTACAACGGACTGCGGACTTTTCAATTTAGGGAGCATGTCAAAAAAGTAATTAGAATGTCACGTATATATTTCATTGAACTCGGTAATAAAATTTTTTCATTTGCACGAGTTATAACAACAAATACATTGCATGGAATGGGTCGCCTCTTTTCTTGAAGACAAGTCTAGTAGTGTAAAATCGTATAACGATAATGAATTATCTATACGATAAACAGGCTTTTTGAAAACGTATTTATATATGCTCCCCGAAAGTCGTCTATTGTTTGCAGTCCGCTGTCCGTAGTACGATGTCAGGTGTCTGAGATTCCGAAAATGTTCAATAGCAATAAATTGATTTTTATTTGAGAGAATTTAAGTACTGCTTCTGTTGCAACCTCACTGACCACTTCTATCAGTAATCATATTCATGTTCATACCTCATCAAAACAGTTTATACTGCTTTATACCTTCGACTTTTCATACCATTTTTACGCATAGATCCGAGTTTCGAGGAGGGGTCCGCGTATTTTGGAGCCGGGGGGGGGGGTCCAAGGTCACTTTTGCTTGGTTTAGAATGTACATTTAATGACTGCAAATTCCAGTGGGGGTCCGGACATGCCGATCCCCCTCTAGATCCGTGACGGTATGTGATGAATAAAAATTCAGTATACTGGAAGAAATTGGACCCCCCTCCCTTCCTCACTTTAATAAGTAGGATTTTCGACAATTCTGGCGATTCCTTAGAGGGGGAGGTGTGTTGTCAATTTTTTTTCAAGTTGATTTTTTTCTATGGCCTCCCCTTTTCAAAACGATGCAGGAATATTTTTTACTAAATTCAAAAGGGAAAGCGGAAAACGGGCCGTGTTTGGTTTCTTTTTTTAGTGACGTTTCAATAGTTCCTATTTGATTGTTTTGTTACAAAAGCCAAATGATCTTGCAAATGTAGCTTCTTTACAAATTACATTGCATTGGAAGGATGTCCGACGTTGCATCTGTAGTGAGTGAAAATGAACAAGCAGTAAAGGTCTGTCTTTTTGCTGATCAACTTTTTTTAACGACGGATTAGAATATAAACCATACCATGTACTTTTCAGATTTAAGTGTCAGTTGACAAAGAAAGAAACGGGACGTACAAGGCGAGAAGAATCCCCCTTTATGAAATAATTTAATATACCATTTACTACGAACAATCCACAGTGATGTAACATCGTTTATGAAAATGGGAGGTCTCCCCAAGGGGGAAAAAATTCCCATCTTTTATCCGCAACTCCTGACCTCTTATACCACTTTCAAAGATTATTACATAGTGCTACTGTGACCTCCTAATACGTAATATCGCGAGTACCTCGCAGTTATCTAATTTACTACCGCTCTTTTGCGGGGAAGTCTCTAGAAAGTTCTATTTCTCTCAAGATTTCTGGGGCACATGGCATTGTTTACAGTAGTGACAATCGAATGATTCAATTTTCAAACAATTTTATGCCGAAAGTTTGCGAAGGATTGAACTCCAAATAGTAGATTGTCAATTAAGGAAAGTTTAGAATACCTTATCAGTTTTAAAATGTGATGATTTTCGATGACTCTTAATGAGAAGAGTCCACTTAGTTAAAAATACCTTTAAAAATGTAGCATTTTAGGATTAGCTACTCTCAAATATTGATTAGGCTGGTTCAGCAATTGTTTAGCAAGGTATTCCACCTGGATTTTTTACTTACCTATTCTTATAAATTCTATAATGATCAATCTTGCATTCTATTTAATAGCACATTTGCCCCCATTCAACAGATGTTTCCTACCTCCATCAGGGCTCGACATTAACTTTTTTCCCTACTTGTCCATTCGGACAAGTGACCAAGATATTTACTTGTCCGAACTTCAACTTCACTTGTCCGAAAATTTTTCAATGAATGTCTTGTTATGTCAACTTGAAAACAATTAAAAAATTAAATGTGCTTGTTATTGATAAATAATACAAACACATATAAAACTAAATTTTATCTAGACTTCCTGTCCTGACAATAGCATAAATGTTCGCAAGTGAATCTGTAATACATGTATCAATCAAATATATTCTAAACTCGCAAACGTCGTGAGATCCA